TTATCAAAGGGTCGCAGCGTCAGGAAGGTCGAGAACTACCTCTCTAATCCTTTGCGTGGCTAACAATGCTTCCCGCACTGCTTCTCAGCAGCTCCCGGATCCACACACCACGACCTCCCCCCAGGACGGTGGCAGCCTCCGTGGCAGCAGGCTCCGTGGCAGCCCCTGTGGCAGCCTCCGTGGCAGCAGGCTCCGTGGCCCCCTCTGCACACCACCCGCTAAGTCCTGCCCCCGACCCTGGGAGCCTCAGTCCCAGATTGGGTGGTGTCTCTTGCTGTACGGTTCCCATCTCATTAAATGCCCTGTAAACTTTTTATTCATCCTGCCTGGTCCCAAGCACCTGCCCTGGAGAATCTGGTCCCTGCCAGGCAGTATTTGCTGTGTGTGTGGGTTTATGATGAACCGTACAACATAGCACTCCCTGCCCATCATCTTCTGTACATTTCAAAGGTTGTCTCCTTGACGTAGGCAAGTCTCTTATCACCCCCACCCCCAGACGATGTACTCTTCTCACTTTTTCCCCAGTTGGTCTCTTTTTATCTATTTCTAAATCCTGTTACTATTCATTATCATTGTACTGTGTGAGCATTTGATGAGGGGGTGGGCTCGTGCCACGCAGTACGTGTGGAGGTCAAAGGACACTCTGCGGAGTCAGTTCTCTTCTCCCTCCTTTACTTGGGTTCCAGAACTTGAACTCAGGTCCTCAGGTGCGGCAGGTGCCTCATTGGTTGTGCCATCTTGCTGGACCCTGGTTTTTTGTTTGTTTTTGACACAGAGTCTCATGTACTTGAAGCTGGATTTGAACTCACTGTATAGCTAAGGATGACTTGGAACTTCTGATCTTCCTGTCTCTGCCTCCTAGGTTTTAGGATTATAGGCATGAACCACAGTGTTGGTGATGGAACCTGAGACTTCATGCTTCCTAGGCATTCTCTCCACTTCCTTTTGTTTTATTTCATCTATCTGTCTGTCTGTCTATCTATCTATCATCTGTCTATCTATCTATCTATCTATCTATCTATCTATCTATCTATCTATCTATCTATCTAACTATCATCTATCTTTCTATCATCTATTTATTTTGGTTTTTCAAGACAGGGTTTCTCTGTGTAGCCCTGGCTGTCCTGGATCTCACTCTGTAGACCAGGCTGGCCTCGAACTCACAGGGATCCACCTGCCTCTGCCTCCCAAGGGCTGGGATTACAGGCGTGCGCCACTACAGCCTAGCTAATTTTTTTAAATTAGTATACTGAATTATATCGGGTTGTTTTCATATAAAACAGGATTCTGACCTCAGAATCCTGATCCACCGTCCTCAACATCCTCAGCTTTTCCCTACCTGCCTGAAACATTGTGATCGGCTCTTCACAAATGTGTAAGGGAACGTTCCCCCATTTCTCCTCTTCCTGTCTGAGCTGAAGACCTCTGGCCCTTCAGACTCCTGCCTCAGTCCCTCCAGAACAGACACTTTATCCCCTGGCCCCCTACCATGGAGGAACACCTCTCTCCTTACTGTGAACTTCACATCCACAAAACATCCATGTTGACACTATTTTCCTGTGAGAGAGACGGGGTCTTCTGTAGCCCAGGCTAGCCTCCAACTTCACATGTAGCCGAGGTTGACCTTGGACTCCAAATCCTCCTACCTCTACATCTCAAATTCTGGAATTACAGACAGGGTGCCCCCACATCCAACCATCATGCTGACTTTTGACATTTTTCTGGCATTTTCTGGACTTAGTGCCCCAGCAGGTCATGGCAAACAGAGAATTCTTGACTGTGGCCCCTGCTCCCGAAGGCCTTTCTCAGAGTCCCAGGAACGTGGGACAGTTTCACACAGGAAACCCATGATCACCCTAAACTCAACAGGTACAGTTGGTAGCCACTATGAATCACCGAAAACAGGCGCCTGTCATCACTGGGCAGTGTGAGCTCTGGGACTGGCCATGCTGGTGCCCTGTGGATCGCCAACAAGTTGAGCTTTCATTTCTAGAAGGCTGGGTACCCAGTTGGGCCCTCACAGGCCCCTCTGCAGCCCGGGTCCTGGGATTACAGGCTTGTACCGCCCTGCCCAGCTTGCTCTCCACACTGGTAGGAGAGGGACATCTGCTTGGCTCTCTTGTATAGCAATGGGCTCCCACATGTCACCTTTTACACGCAAGGCTAAGTATTTGAAGGACAGGGTGATTGGTCAGCTGTGGTCTGGGCACACAGGTACAACGGCTTGCAGACTGCCTTCATCACCACCACCACCATCATCACCATCACCATCACTCCCCTCAGACAGCGGGGTCCCAGGCTCCACTGAGAGCAATGAACAGGATGACCCCTCCTAACATGGACCCTGTGCAGACCTCTCTCTTCTTGGCATAAGACCTTAAAACCGATGGGTCTGATATAAATGCCCTCCCATAATGCCCCCAAATCCATGCAGCTCACCCCTTAGCTGCCCCTTCCTCCCTGCTCCCCAAATCATAGCAAAATGTGGAAGAGGAAGTCAGTGAGAACTCCTCCAGCTGGGGCAGCCTCTGAGGGGCTGAGTTCCGGGCCAGGGTCCTGAGCTTCCTCTATGAGTTACCTGAGAACCGACCCATAGGGTTCTAGATGTTTCCAGCCCCAGTGAATGTGTGTGCTATGGACATTCTCCCTCCACCCACAGCCTTCAGCTCAGGGCCTTCTTCCTCTTCCACCTGTGTCCTTAATCCCCTGGCACCCTGGTCCCCTGCGGCCCTTTTATGCTTCATGAGGAATCAGGAAATCTATCCCTGCCTGAGAGAGATCAGCCTCCAATCAGTTGAATCCTAGCCCCAAAGAGGAGCACCCATGCATCCCCCATAGCCCCCTTACACATAAAGCCAAGGTCTCCCCACTCAGCCCCTCAGCTATTTCTACCAGAGGGTGCTTTTCCAGATGCACTCAGCCAAGTCAAGAGCGGGAGATAAACTAGTGATGGCATCTGCAACCCCAGCCCTCAAGAAGCCTCATGAGGCAGCAGGAGGGGCCTGAGTTGGAGAGCTTGGACTGTATGGGGAGAGCTTGTCACCAAAGGCAAAACAAAAACACAGAGAGCAGAGAGGAAATGCCACCCCCTCCCCCGCCCCCAGAACCTCTGTGGTTGAATAGAACAAACTCCTAAAAGCTGTCCACTGACTTCCACACATCATCTGGGAAGGTGGGGAAGGCCTGGCCTCTCAGCAGACAGGGCCACAAGGATAGGGACGTGCAGAGAACACCAAGTCACCGAAGCTTGCTGTTCTCCTGCCAGGAACGGCTGAAGAGCAAGAGATGGATTTCAGCCTTCCCTCCACAGGCTACGCCTCAGGTCATCGGCTGCCAAACCACAGGCCAGGCCATTTCCTCTACACCTGCAGATGTCTTCAGTGGCCTCTTAGCACCCCAGAGGCAGAAGGAGGCCCTAACACAGATTTCCAGCCCTTTCACAGACCCTTCCCCTGGCAAGGGAAGGCAAACATCTACAGCCCTGCCCCAGACCCCGGTACACCAGGCTGGGTGTCACTCACCTGGAGCTGCTGAGGAGGTGGCAGAGGTGGACGTCCAGAGCTGGAGAACCAGCAACAGGATCCAGGTCACCAGCATCTCCCAGGGAGAGGGCCCTGGCCGTAAGAGCGTCCCTCCTCAAGAGGTCCAAGAAGTGAGGGCCCCGCACCAAAGGAGCTCTTATAAGAAAGGACCCTAGAGACCTTTGCCTGGGGGGAGGCGGGTGTCTGGCCCGGGGTGGGGATGGCTATGGTTTAGGGTGGGTGACCACAGGGAGTTGGCTAAAAGGTAACCTATCAGCCTTCCTCTCCTCTAATTCCAGGTGTGTTGACTGTCCCAAGCAACAGCCAACGGAAATAAGAATCACTGGATGGGTGGGGCGAGACAGGCTGGACAGACCTGAGGCTGAGGTGTTGAGACTCGGAAGAAAGTAGCCAAGAGGTGGACGCCAAGAAACACAAGGGTGTGGCAACTGTGGAGGGAAGAATGCCTGGACCCCAGAGAGGGACAGTCTCTAAGAGGCCAGGCCTGATGATAGAGAACCTTCCTCAGAGCCCAGCAACCTTTTTATTTCCAGTCTTCTGTCCCCCTTGCCTCCCTGGAGCTACCCCCTTTCCATTGCTTTCCTGTCGGGGTGGGGTGCTGTCCCTCACGCCTAAGATTTTATGGGCTGCCCTCCACCCCTGGCCAGCGTCAGAGATGGGAGAAATCAGTGTTCATTGTCTCTTCTCCCCTTCACAGAGCCAAAGTCCGAGGGACCTCTCCTAAGCGCGCCCCCACCCACACACAAAGAGCCACTGGGTCAGATTACCACTCACTGTCCCAGTCCCAGGCAGGATCAAGGTGGCCCACCACCGTGGGAACAGGAGGAGACCAAGACTGCAGGGACAGGCAGCTAAAGACACCTGCCGCCAAGCCTGATGACCCGAGTTCAATCCCCAGGACCCACACGTTGGCAGAAGAGAATCCACTCCTGCAAGCTGTCTTCCGACCTCCACACAGGTGCTGTGACACACGCAAACATGTACACACACACACACACACACACACACACACACACTACAAAATAAATGTAATAAAAAAAAAAGTCTCTTTTCCTCCCTGACCCAGCACCCAGGGTCTAATTCCTTTCGGCTCATTCAGCTAATTCCACCTCTACGCTTCCATGGTCACGGCAAGTGAGGGCAAGATTGCAAAACTGAAGGGACTCCTCCCATTCACTGTTGACGGAGAGACTCCCCGCCCCCCACCCAGCAGTTAGTGAAACTCGCCCCCTTCATAAGATCTAGGTACAGCCATGGCCGGGAGAGATGCTCTCCTTCCTCCCTGGGAGAAAAGAATGCTGCCCAACCTTCCAACCTCTCAACACGGAGTCTGTTTTTCAGCCAGATGGGGACCACTGGGGGGGGGGGGGGGGGGGGGGGGGGGGGGGGGACAGGAGAAAGACGGACGGGCGGAGCAGTTTTGTTTACAGTAAATGTATTTATTGATTTATATGGGGAACTAGACACTTGCTGACATCCTGGCCAAGGAGGCTGAGGGCTCCAGGCTCAGAGGTTACGGCAGTGACGTGGTGACATCAGGGAAGGACAGGGAGAGACATGAAGGAGGAAGAGGTAGTGAGGATGGGGAGGGTGGGAAGGGAGGGCTAGGGGAATGGGGAGCCGGCTTCACGCCCTCATCCTTGGCCAAAGCCATACCCCACGCCTGTCTATGGGGATTCAGCAAATGTGAAGGGTAGAAAGACGGTGGAGCCTCGGATGCGGAAGCAGGGGCTTGAGGAGAATAAACTGGGGCCCCAATGACACCCTGACCCTACGAGGACCTAGGAATGTAGATGTGGGACTCAGGGCTTGGTGCTGGGATGGGGAGGGGCAGGTTTGTAGGTACCAGGACACGAGGTTCGAGGATAGGTGTGAGTCCAGGTCATCCTCAACTAGAGAGTTCAAGGCCGGCCTGTGCTTTCAAAGACCCTGTCTCTAAAAAGAAAACTGGGAGAGGCATCGGGCTGAGGCAGGAGATTGACATAAGAATCAACTCAGGGTGAGGAGCTTTGGAGAGCGACAAGGGTCACAGCAAAGAGCCATGAGGAGAGAGTGGGGTGTGACCTGCTTCATGCTGCCCAGAGGTGCGAGTTCAGGTGTCTACATGTGTGAGTTCAGGTGTCTACAGGTGTGAGTTCAGGTGTCTACAGGCGTGAGTCCAGGTGTCTACAGATGTGAGTCCAGGTGTCTACAGGTGTGAGTTCAGACTGTCTACAGGTGCAAGTTCAGGTGTCTACAGGTGTGAGTTCAGGTGTCTACAGGTGTGAGTTCAGACTGTATACAGGTGTGAGTTCAGGTGTCCACAGGTGTGAGTTCAGGTGTCTACAGGTGTGAGTTCAGACTGTTGGTGTGAGTCCAGGTGTCTACAGTCGAGAGATCAGGTGTCTACAGGGGTGAGTTCAGGTGTCTACAGGTGTGAGTTCAGACTGTATACAGGTGTGAGTTCAGGCTTCTATAGGTGTGAGTTCAGGTGTCTACAGGTGTGAGTTCAGACTGTACACAGATGTGAGTTCAGGCTTCTATAGGTGTGAGTTCAGGTGTCTACCGGTGTGAGTTCTGACTGTCTTCAGGTATGAGTTCAGGTGTCTACAGACGTGAGTTCAGACTGTCTACAGGTGTGAGTTCAGGTGTCTACAGATGTGAGTTCAGGTGTCTATAGGTGTGAGTTCAGGTGTCCAGAAGTGTGAGTTCAGGTGTCTATGGGTGTGATTTCAGGTGTCTACAGGTGTGAGTTCAGACTGTCTTCAGGTGTGAGTTCAGACTGTACACAGGTGTGAGTTCAGGTGTCCACAGGTGTGAGTTCAGATGTCTACAGACAGGTGTGAGTTCAGATGTCTACAGGTGTGAGTTCAGATGTCTACAGGTGTGAGTTCAGGTGTCCAGAAGTGTGAGTTCAGGTGTCTACGGGTGTGATTTCAGGTGTCTACAGGTGTGAGTTCAGACTGTCTTCAGGTGTGAGTTCAGACTGTACACAGGTATGAGTTCAGATTTCTATAGGTATGAGTTCAGATGTCTACAGGTGTGAGTTCAGGTGTCTATAGGTGTGAGTTCAGGTGTCTACAGGTGTGAGTTCAGATGTCTTCAGGTGTGAGTTCAGGTGTCTATAGGTGTGAGTTCAGGTGTCCAGAAGTGTGAGTTCAGGTGTCTACAGGTGCAAGGTGAAGGATAAACATTAGGACATCGATGGAATGCAAACACAAAAGAGCCATGGACTGGGGAGGAAGCTCAGTTGGTAGATGCCTGCCTGGTCCTGGGTTCGATCCCCAGCACCACAGAAGCTGGCAGTAGTGGAGCACTGTAATCCTGGCACTCGGGAGGAGGCAAAGGGTCAGAAGTTCATATCAAGTGAAAGGCCAGTCTGGGATACAGAGACAGACGGGGAGGAGATGAGGTCGGATGGGAGAGAGAACCTGAGAAGCAATGGGAGGGTGGAGACGGGCCAAAAAATATCTACCAAATGCATGTGAAGTTCATAGTAACTGTGCCAAGTTTCAGGGTAAAGGTGTGAGTGCATCACCCCCATTTCACAGATGAGGAAACTGAGGCAGAAGATAACTGACTTGCCCACTATATGTTCTCCAAGTGGGTTTCAGTCAAACAAAGAGAAGGATGGGAGGTCAAAGGAATACATTTTTTCCCCCAAGAACACTGGGAGCTGGGGGTGTGGGTACTGGAACCAGTTCTTGCACAACGGGCTCCGTCCTGCTGTCCAGGGCGGGGTACAGAAGTACAGAAGTACAGAAGCGGCCCTCCAGGGCTCAGGAGGACGGCGAGGAGGCCACCTCCGGTCTTTGGATGTGAACCTGCCACAGAATGGACACTGAGCGTGAAGAGCTCAGCCGCACGTGGGAGCTGGCAGAGGGAAGTCCCTGCCTGGCCCCGACCCAGCCACCTGCCCAGACGCCCTCCCTCCGGCCGGCCTCACCCTTGCGTTGGTGTCCACGTTCTCCAAGTCAACACAGAGGTTTTCGTTACTAACTACAGAGGAAAGAAAGAAGGACGGTGGAGGAGAGGGAAGAGAGACCGCATGACCCGGGGCGGGGGGGTCAGTCAGGAATCGTCCCTTCCTCAAGGGCCAGGGCACCCACTCTGGGCACCAAGGGCACCCACTCTGGGCACCGAGGGCACCCACTCTGGGCACCGAGGGCACCCACTCTGGGCACCAAGGGCACCCACTCTGGGCACCAAGGACACCCACTCTGGACACCGAGGGCACCCACTCTTGGCACCGAGGGCACCCACTCTGGGCACCGAGGGCACCCACTCTGGGCACCGAGGGCACCCACTCTGGGCACCGAGGGCACCCACTCTGGGCACCACATACGCGTCTGTCCTGGCTGTGGAGTCCACACGCCCTCCTCAGACTGCAGCCCAGCGCAGGGCAGCCCGGTCTCCAGGCAGCAAGACTCACCGGTCGGGGAATCCTGGAAGCCCGCGTAGGAAAAAGTCCCCAGGACGCCTTCATTCCGGGTGGCAAACCGCTTCCTGTCCTGGCTCCAGGACCTAGGTGACAGCTCAAGAGGTCACACAGTCGGGCCAAAGACGCGGTGTCCGGGGGCCGCCCCCACCCCTCGTCCCTCCTGCTTACCTGCCTGGGGGCGGGGGCGCCTTGTCCCTGCCCCGGGAGCGTGCCACCCAGACACCGAGGGCCACCAGCAACAGCAGCAGCACAGCAGCGGCGCCCACCAGCCCCCCAACCAGCCCCCTCCAGTGAACCGCCACCTCGCAGCGGGGGCCCGAAAACCAGTAGGTGTCTGTGGAGAAGCAGCTGCAAAGAGGGTCGCAGGCTTCAGACAGGTCACATGCTGGCAGGCGGGGCCCCAGGGGCTGGGTCCCCCACCCTAGGGCGCGTGCGTGCGTGCGTGTGTGCGTGCGTGCGTGCGCAAGGACCTTGGAGAACTTGGTCCGTGGGTGGCAGGGTCTCCAGAAGGGACGGTGGGGTGGGGCGGCTCACATATCTAATTCTAGAACTTGGGAAATGAGGACAAGAGAGTCAGGAGTTCAAGGCCAGAGTCCGCTTCTTAGGAGATCGAGGCCAGCCTGGGTCACGTAAGACCTAAAGTGCAGGAAGTAGTCAAGGAAGGAAGGGCGGGAGGGAGGAAGACCAAAGGGCAGGCAAGATGGCTCAGGGGGTCTTTGCTGCTCAAGCCTGGGGAAGCAACCTAGGTTCAAACCCCGGGACCCACATAAAGGTGGAGGGCGAGAACCGACCCCAGAGAGTTACCTTCTGACCTCCACAGGGTCATGGTGTCACACCCCCATATGCACACGGAATAAATAAATAAAATGTAGTCTTTAAAATGAAAACCTTTGAAAATACGTCAAGTAAATTTAAAAACCAAAAAAAGACAAGAAGGAAGGGTCGGTGGGGAAGCAGGCAGTGTCTCCACCCTAGGGCAGTGGGCGGGACTCCTCTGGAAGGAGCTTGTAGCTGGTGGGCTTGGCCTTGGGAACGCCCTAAGCGAGCGGGCGTGGCCTAGTGGGTGGGGCGTGGTCTAGTGGATGGGGCGGGACCTCACCGACCGGATGGGCGTGGTCTAGTGGATGGGGCGGGACCTCACCGACAGGTTGGGCCGTTCTTCTGTAGGAAACACTGTCCCTGGTGGCAGTCGATGGTGCCATCCACTCCAGGTGTGCAGTTGGTGACGCAGCGGAGCCTGTTCAGCTCCACCAAGGGAAAGTAGAAGTCCTCATAGCCCGCGGGGGCAGTTCGGTGACAGATGGCTGGGGAGGCAGGCAAGGGGGAGATGACGGAAACAGGGGTTCCACTTTATCTGCTCGGTAACCTGGCTTTAGTGACCGGGAGTGAGGCGGGGGAGGGGTGCTGGAGCGGGGGAGGGGTGCTGGGGCGGGGGAGGGGTGCTGGGAGGGGGGGAGGGGTGCTGGGGTTTTTCCAAGGTGGCAGGGAAGTAATCCTGGCCCTCTGGCCTTGCTTGGGGGTGCTGGGGTGTGGGTCTGTGTGTGTGTGTGTGTGTGTAAGCCTGATAACCTCAGCTCAACCCCACACACCCACCCGCAGGGTGGAAGGAGAGAACTGACTCCCCCAAGTTGTCCTCTGACCTCCACACGTGTGCCATGCACACACACGTACACACACTCACACTCATGCACACACACAAAGGCCTTCCCTGAGAACTCAAGGATTTGGGATTCTCTGTTGAAAAGCCATGGCCACCTGAGACCACTCCGCTCTTTGCTATGGTGATATTTGATTTGTACTGAAATGTGATTTTAATTTTATGTTAATAAATAAAGTTGCCCTGGGGTCAGAGCTATTAGAGCCATAGCAAGAGCGTGGTGGTTAGAAGAGCTAGGTAGATTTCTGTGTGTTCAGGGATACAGCCAGTATTGGAGACATATGCCTTTAAGACCTGGAGGGCGGTACTTACAGGCAGTGATGAGGCAGTCATGTGGTTGGGTTTAGAACCAATGAGAAGGCAGAACAGAAAGACTAGTTAAAGACAGACAAACAGGAAGTAGCTCTCTCTCGGGGAAGCTAGGAGCACTGCAGGAGGTAAGATTTTATCTCTGAGCTCTGACCTCTCGGCTTTCTCTTTTACATTGGCTCTGTGTTTCTTATTTTAATAAGACGAATGGTTACATCTACACTCCGCCCTACCCTCCTCACCGTTGGGGGTCAGCTCTTCTTCCTTGGTGCCATTGTTCACCTTGACGGAGTCGGGCTTAAAACACAGGGCTGGGGGCAGAGGAAGAGAGGGCTCCCTCAGTGTCCCCAGAATGTGGAGGAGCCACAGGCAAAGTGGCTGTCACCTCCCTCCTCCCTGCTGAATAATCACCCTCCAAGACCTCCCAAGGCCCCACCTTCAACCCCGGGGAGCACCGCGGTGCCTCCTCCCTCAGGCTGTCAGCACTGGAGCATGAGCCCCCCACCCCCGAAGTTTCCCCGACTGAGCTGGAGAAGGTTAGGGAGACAGTGGTGACCCTGCCCCTCCCCCGGCTCACTCTGGTTGTCCTGACAACCGTCACCGTCTTGGCTGGATCTCTGGAGCTCCTCCTTCAGCAACGTCTTCACCTTCTCGTACTCGCCCTGCAGCTGGGGACTGAAGGGCAGCTTCAGCAGGACCAGGTAGTCTACCACGACGCTGCCGCTCCTGAGGGGTCAAGAGCATCAGAGGGCACACGGGGCACAAAGGGTCTCTGGGGCACCGTTAGGACCAACCACAAATGTCCAAGAAGGAGAGGGGGATGCAGGCTGTGGCATGAAATGTCAAATTATTTTTGAGTGTGTTTGTGTGTGTGTGTGTGTGTGTGTGTGTGCGCGCGCACGCGCGCGCACTGGTATGCAAGGATCCTATATGTGTATAGGTCAGGGGACAACCTTGGGCATTGGTCCTTAGGTGCCTTCCACTGGTTTTTGTTTGTTTGCTTGTTTGATTTTGAGATAGAGACTTTCATTGGCCTAGAATGTCACCATATAGTTCATATAGGGCCTGTGAGCTTCCAGAGATTGACTTGTCATTCATCATCATCAGTCTTCATCATCAGTCATCATCATCATCAATCATTATCATCAATTATCACCACCATCATCATCAATCATCATTATCATCAATTATCACCACCATCATCATCAATCATCACCACCACCACCACCATCATCACCAATCATCAACATTATCATCATCAATCATCATCAATCTTCATCAATCATCCTCATCATCATCAATCATCATCACCATCATCAATCATCATCATCATCATCGCCATCAACTTCTGTCTGTGTGTGTTGGTGGTGTATGTGCATGTGTGTGGGTACCTGCCCATGCTCAGAGTCCAAAGGATCGCACCTGGTGTCATGCTTGGTCACTCTCTGTATTATTCCCATGGGAAAAGATCTGTCCTCACTGACAGTAGTCAGCGAGTCCTCAGCAACGCTCCTGTCCCTGCATCCTCCATCCCTGGGTTTACAGACATGCATGCCCATGTCCCACTTTTTGCACCAGTGCTGGGATTTGAACTCATGTCTGCACAGCAAAACACTCTTAGCCCCAAGTCCAGCTTTTTACATGATTTCTGAGAATCTAAACTTGGGTCTTTTCGCCTTGGAGACAAACACTTTCACTTTCCTGACTGAGCATTTTCCCCCAGTCCCATTACATTCTTTTTAGACGAGGGCTCTCAGCCTGGGAAGCAGGGAAGGAATGCTCTTCATGTTGTATCAAAATATCACCAAACTAGGGGCTGGAGGGATGGCTCAGTGGTTAAGGGCACTGGCATTTCCAGAGGACCTGGATTCTGTTCCCAGCACTCACAGGGTAGCTCACCACCATCTGTAACTCCAGTCCCTAACACCCTCTTGTGACTTCTGGCACATATGTGGTTCACAGACTTACCTGCCAGCAAACATTCATACACATAAAATAAGTTTTTTTTAAAGATATCACAAAACCAAACCGTGTGTGTGTGTGTGTGTGTGTGTGTGTGTGTGTGTGTTCTGTCTCTTTCCCCTTCCTCTCCTCCCTCCTTACTTCCCATAGACGGAGCTGGTACCAGGCAAACAGAGACTAAATCAACAACCCCACCTCTGCAAGTCTCATGCAGTTGTACTTGAAGAGGGTACCATTCCCCTGCAAAGAATGACCCCCCGAAATTATTGTGAAAGTCGCCCTCATGGAATTCCCTTGAAGACTCCCTCTGCCTCTTTGTGGTGGCTAATGGTTCCAAAAGGGAGGGGTGGCGCCTCCATTTCCTCTACCCCACAATCTCTCCACAGCCCCAGAAGGAGCTCCTACCTCAGGGACAGGATCCGCACACCCTGGAAACCTTGGACAGTCTGGTAGATCTTCTGCATCTGAAATGTCAATGGTCTCTGGGATGATGTCTGTACCTGTGGGCCTGAGGATACCCAGGGGCCCATGCCCAGGTAAGGATCATTCAGCTCCTTCCTCCCTGCTCACCTGGCCCTGGAAGGCGTTGCTGAAATCTCTGTAGGCCTTGGAAGTGTTGTCTTTGAGGTCTTGAGAGAATTCCTGGTCCACAGATACCTCCATGCCCACTTCGGTCTTTACTGTGTCTGTATCATGGGATACCTAGCTCTGATTACTCCATCATCTGCCCTTGTCTGCCATCACTACCACAACTCTCTCATCTATAGGTTCTCTGTCTTTCTCCATCATTCCCAAAGACTTAACGGAGGAGTACCCAGAAAGGAGAAGGAATTCTGGAATAATATCTGGGGTGTGGCTCAGTGGTAGAGCACTTGCTTATAATCTCTGAGAGAGGTCCTGTGCTCAGTTACCAATAGAAGGAGAATCAATCAATTAATTCTGGTATGTTTTTATCAGAGGTGAAAGGAAGAAGGCCAACTCCACATGGATCAGCCTATAACTCCTCCATTTCCCCCACAGAGCAGGCAGAATAATAGTTCCTAAAGATGTTTCCACCTAGCCAGGCAGTGGTGGCGCACGCCTTTAATCCCAGCATGCAGGAGGCAGAGGCAGGCAGATCTCTGTGTGTTCGAGGCCAGCCTGGGCTACAGAGTGAGATCCAGGAAAGGCGCAAAGCTACACAGAGAAACCCTGTCTCGAAAAACAAAAACAAAAACAAAACAACAACAACAAAAAGATGTTTCCACCTTAATCCTAAGAAAGAACACATGAATATATCATCTGATACAGAAGTATGACACAGACGTCCTGTGTCAGGATGCAGATAAATTAGAAATGGTAGTTCAAACTGCTTTGAGAGCTAGAGAGGTGGCTCGGGGTTACGTGTGTCCTTCTCTCCCAGAGGACTCCAGTTCCGTTCCCAGCACCCACATCAGACACAACGCCCTGTGACTCCAGGCCGGGGGCGTCTGATGTCTCTGACCTGTCACCTGCACTCATGTTCACAGGTGCTGTGGATCGTTGATTGATAAATAAAACGCTGACTGGCCAGTAGCCAGGCTGGAAGTATAGGCGGGACAAAGAGGGAGGAGAATTTTGGGAAGTGGAAGGCTGAGGCCGAGAGACACTGCCAGTCACCGCGATCAGGAACAGGATGTAAAGTACTGGTAAGCCACGAGCCACGTGGCAAGCTATAGATTAATAGAAATGGGTTAATTTAAGATAGAAAAACTGATTAATGAGAAGCCTGAGCCATTAGGCCAAACAGTTTAAATAATATAAGCATCTGTGTGTTTATTTTATAAGTGGGCTGTGGGACTGCCAGGCTTGATGGACCCGGAGAGAAAATCTCCAGCTACACACAGGCATACACATAATTAAAAATAATAAAGATAAACCTTTACTAATTCGTTTTGTTTTGAATTTTTGTTTTTACTTTGTTTTGCTTTTGAGTCAGGGTCTCACTCTGTAGCCCTGGATGGCCTGGAACTTGCCACGTAGACCAGACATGTTTCAAACTCACAGAGATCCACCTGTCTCTGCCTCCCAGGTGCTGGGATTCAACACGTTCACCAGCATGCTCTGCCCACATCTGATTTTGTAATGGTTGATAGCTGTGGTCAGATTGACAGGCTCCAGCGTCACCACAAAGACAAACCTCTGGGCACATCTGTGAGGAGTTCCTGGGTTGGATAAGTGAGGTGAGAAGACCCACCTTATATGTGGGTGGCGCTATCCCGAGGTCTGCGATCTTGGACTGAATAAAAAGAAGCGAGCCGAGCAGCAGCGTCCATCTCTCTCTGCTTCCTGACTGTGGATGCCATGTGACCCGCCTCACGTTCCTGCCGCCATGACCTCCCTGACTGATGGACTGTGTCCCTTCATACCGGGAGCCACCATCAACCCTTTCCCCCTAGCCATGACGGTGCACGCCTGTAATCCCAGCACTCAGAGACAGAGACAGGGGGAGTCTCTGTGAGTTTTAGGACAGCCCGGTCTACAGAGTGAGTTCCACACTAGCCAGGGCTACAAAACAAGACCCTATCTCCAAAAACAGTTGCTTTTGTCAGGGATTTGGGCATAACAGTGAAAGACGCAACCAATAGAGACTTGTAATCCACAGAATTGTGTTACAGCCACCAGCTCCATGGTCATTCATGACAGCAACCATCGGAAACTGCCGTGGATATCGCTCTGTATAAATAAAATGTCCATCGGCCAGTAGCCAGGCAGGAAGTATAGGCGGGACAAGCAGAGAAGAGAATTCTGGGAACAGGATGGCTGAGTCAGGAGCTGCTGCCAGCCACTGCCATGAGTACCAACATGTAAGATACTGGTAAGCCACGAGCCATGTGGCAAGGTATAGATTTATAGAAATGGGTTAATTTAAGATGTAAAAACAGTTAGCAAGAAGCCTGCCACGGCCATACAGTTTATAAGAAATATAAGTCTCTGTGTGTTTACTCGGCTGGGTCTGAGCACCTGGCGGGTGAGAGAGATTTGTCCTGACCGTGGGCCAGGCAGGACCAGGAAAACTCTAGCTACAGGAAACTAGTAAGGTTGCCAGGCGGTGGTGGTGCATGCCTTTAATCCAGCACTTGGGAGGCAAAGCCAGGTGGATCTCTGGTCTACAGAGCGAGATCCAGGACAGGCACCAAAACTACACAGAGAAACCCTGTCTCAAAAAAAAAAAGAAAGGAAGGAAGGAAG